AGGATTTGGTCGAACCACCGCAAATCGGCTGTTGTGCCACCGGACAGACGCGTTTTGCCAAATCGTGGCACTGCGTTGCATTGAGATTGAATCCGTTGATAAAATGGTTTAGCAGTTCGCAAGCATGTAGCTACGTGTCGAAGAGACCCGAGGACCTGGTAAAATTCTGTTTTCGTAGCCGTGCCTCGCTGAAGTATCGCTTGTACGCGTCGGTGTGCTTTAAATATTTTGTCGCTAGGGATTGATACCGTACGCCGCACGGTGTTCCACAATAACCCGAGCGCCACTATCTCAGAGCTCCAGGCTGAGAATTTTGCCTCATTGATTGAGCGAGGTCCAAGAGCGGCTAACATAGCGTGACGAAGTGTTGCTTCTGCTAACTGTAACCTATCACCTTCGTCGGGTTCCACTAAAATATGATCGTCAACCCATTCGTAAGGGAAAAATGGTTCATTGTCCTTGGAATCTGACACTGACGCAGGTGAATTTGAGCCTATGAGCCATGATATTGCCCGGCCAAATAACGCGTAGCATGGCGGCGACCCCGACCACCCAAACGGAGCTGCCAGATTGATAATAATAATTTATAGCTCCTTGATAAAGGCTGCCATACGGAAAACCTGGTTAGCTCGGGTACGTAAATGCCGAAAAACACCCTTCACATCGCCTTAAAGCATCATAATTCTCTCCGTGCAACCGCATGTAGCCAAGTACTCAATTCGCCTTGCAATAATCGCGACCGACTCATAGCGCACTTTTGGAATCGAATCCGCTACCAACGCGGAATTTACCGAGTCGTTCTTCGAAAATGATAAGTCATGAATAGTGCGAACTTCCTCGTTCGGATCTACACCCTTCTTTACCACAGCCCCCTAAGGACTGCAGATAATTTCAGGAGGATATCGGCCTCCACAACCATATACTGACCAGAGTCTTGGCCTTCGCGAATTGACCTGATCACCGCGCGCAAATAACGACGACACGAACCGTTATTCTTAGGAGGTGGATGATTCTTCATCGGTCCTTGACGCCACTGTACATCGATGCCGACCTCTGCAATTTTAATTAGGTCATCGAGATGTGGATAACCTCTGAGTACGCGACGTAGTCGTTCTGGGTCAATTGCTTTGTTCGGCCTTCTGTCATTGTCGCGTTCGCCACGGATAAATTGTGTTGCTTCTTCGACACTCATGTTGCGTGTGCGAACCAAATGGGACAGCGACTTACACGCTACATTGTCGATCTCGTACGGCGAAATCTCGAGCTGTTTTGCGCGGACAAATCCCATTCCACGATGTGTAATTGATATTCGGGCTTCATCGGCGAGTAATTCTTCCTCCGATGCGTGTTTGATTTTCTGTGCCGACATCAACGATAGACCAAACTGTCTACCGCTAATATGTGGAGGCATTTGGTGCTGTATGCCACGGACTGATGACACTTCGTTGTAACAAGGTCTTGACCGGCAACCGCTTGTACCCTTTTTCGCCGTCTCTACCGGTGTTGCTTGTCCGGCCTTACAAAGCGATCTCTCGGGACAGGAAACCATGCCAATCGTGCTCTTTGCTTCAATAGTTGGATATCTACAAGGCCTCTGGTGACCAGTACTTGTATCTCGCTTAAGTATCTCGTTCTGGGGTAAAGTGGATTCTCCATGACCCGCTACTTTGAGACAGCGTACTTTGTCACCCTTGCTCTTTGCTGACACCATCGTTTTACCAATTTTGCATTGCTTGCTCTCTGATACTGCGTTGACGCTAGCAGTCCTCTTTGGGTGCAGACTTGATAATACCTTGTCCGATGCAGTCTTGTGGGACACGTCCACCGCAGTGAATCGGTCGTTACTCAACACACCATTCACTTGGGTAGCGTCCGAGTTAAGGCGTGAGCATACCGATTTCTGCTGCTTCTCAGGTCGATTTCGGGCCGCTGCCACGAACTTGAGCTGCAAAGATGGCCGTACTGCCCCGCTGATCTTGGATAGTCATAATTGTCGGTGCTCCTCCTTCAAGCCACCAAATCGTCTAGTGATCTCTTCTTTCACGCAGGCCGGCAGCTTATTTGGAACAAAATGACCATGATCACTGGGGCACGCGCCATTTGCGTCGGGTGCACAGCCTGCCTTTGAAAGGTAGCGCATACACACACTCTTAGCCTTGCCCGAGCCTGGCTCGGTTTGTACTGGAAGTTGGCCCAGCACGTCCCTCGATATCCGACCGAGACGCCTTTTTCCGTCCTGCCGAGGAGTAGACTGGTAAGTTGGTGCCCGCTTCGTCCCCCCTGTTCGGGCTTCATCCGTTAATCTCTCGTTCTTGATCTCGCTGACGTGTTGATGTACTTTTACGAGCATCAGATCCCTCAGAAGCCTATCATCCGTTGAGCAGCGTCTTATCACTTGCCTTAAGTCACCATCGCTTTCTGCAACACTTCTAAAGTCCTCTAAAACATCGTCTACCCAGTAAACAAGTGTCAACAGTTCTTTTGACTCCAGCTAACTCTCATGAGTATGAACTCAACGATGTGTTCGACCAGTTCGATCAGCGCTGAGCAGCAGTATTCTCGGCAATACGTGAGGAACACTCTTGCTGCTTCTACCACATCCTCTATGCGCGAAGCAGGAGTAGCTGTAGCGAACTCCGCCGTCGCCAACAGGTTGCCAAAGTTTGATCCTCCACTTTCTAGCCACGACATCCTCTCGTCCTCTGACAGTCGGGCGAAGTGACGAATTGACAACCCACCAGAACCAAATTGAATATCATATGCCCGAGTGCAGACACCCGGTAGCGCCTTAAACTTCACAAATTCGGACCGAACCATACCTTTGACAAATATAGTAGCAGGCTTACCTTTATGCTTTTCTGATGTCACTCGCTCATGTACCTCCTGTTAATCATCTCGTGGAGCAAATGCGTACTTTGATGCTACGGTCACTCTTTTCCGCGGAGGCGGCTGCCCAATCATCTCAGAACTCGTGCTCACTTGAGTCCTCGGAACCATTTGAGACTGTCTGTTGGCTTGTCTAATAGCTAGAAACCGCTCCAGTAGCTCGGGGTCATCGCTGAGTTTCTCGACAATGAGTGCATCTTGGTCTATCGCTGTGCGACATCGCTTTGCCTCATGAACACCATCATCCGACGGGCTAACCGGCTGTCGGGAACGCTTTGGTCGTTCTGGCCGCGTAGTGACTTGAACCGTACCCTCACGAATCGGCTCCGATTGGTCTTGGGGAGTATCATCGCCGTCGATAAAAGGATCGAAAAGCTCACTTCCTTCTCTTTCCTCGCCATCACCACCACCAATCGGTGATTGTGACTGAGGCGGGCAGCAAAACGCCTGCCCCACAGTTGGTGGCACCGGTGTCACTCCTCCATCGACATAATACGCAAAGTCAAGGGCGTGTTGCAGCGCAAACTCGGTCTGTTGACCCGTTGAAGGGTCGGTCCACTTACAGACCTTCGTTGCACTGGGATAGTTAGCTTCTGCCATTAAGCCTTCTAATATAGCCGGTATCTGGTTAGATCCCACGATATCTCGTCCGAGTACTCGGTCTAGAACAGTGTTTTCGACAGCCTCGATTTTGCGCGCGCTCCATTCATCACTGTCAAATTAAATATGTTCCAATAGAAGGGCTATAATCGGTGCTACGACCGACACTGCATTCCATTCAGCGGTGAGCTGCTGTCCGTCGGATAGAATCGACAGCTGATCGCCTTCGGCTTCTACCACTTGACCGTAGTAAACATGATCAGAGCCCTTTACAGCAACTGCACGTCGCATGAGTGAATGATTTCTTGCCCTGTTCACCTCGCTGGCCGTCACCACGTGTGTTTCCGCAACTGCCCGACTTACACTTCCTCCCCCCCCCTTCGAGACTATGAAAGGTTACTGTATCTGCCTCTACTCGAGCGACCTTCGCGTAGAATGGTGCGTCAAAACCTGTTTCAATGGTTTCAGGCATCAAATGTAGGTAGGATCGAGCTGCAAGGCGAACCATTCTCCGGAGTGCTGGAGGCTGAAGGGTGGAAGCAAGAGGGCTTAAGCGTGATTAGGAAATTCTGAAACTAACTACGGCCGCTCGCTCCTACGTTGGTTTCATCTTTTGCTACCTCAACTCAAAAGTTATTTTCACCCGTTGCTTAAAAATTCCCATTTTTTGCCGGTGACACGAATGTTGACCTAGGTTACATTACGCGCTTCGATCTACACTGTACCGTGTAATTAATCCGGGGTGGGCTGTCCATACTTCTATGAGGCATTCCCAGTATAAACAAAAAGTATCCTTAAATAAAAAAAAACTACGATCTGGATTTGATTACGATTTATGTCTTGGTCATGAGGCAGTCAGGCTATGTTCCAAAAGGTTGGTACGTTTGGTTTCAAAACGTGCAGGTTGCTAAACTTGATGATACCCACGCGAAACTGCATCTACTTCATGGATCATGCATCGAGCCAAAGACAAACCAAGTTTGTATTTTTTGTCTCCATTACTATCCGGTTCGAATACTTCGCTCCTGGTCGAGTAAATGTTCCCACGTGTAAAAGAGTCCCCAACAAAGGTAGCCTATGATAAGAACATTCTTACGAAAACTATCATTTAGAGAACGGCTACTTCTACCGAATTGACCGCTACGTCCTTACGAATAGCACAGACTGTAATGGTACCAGATTTTACAGCAACTTCGCTAATACATTCAATTCGATGCTCTTCTTATCCACTACCGATAGCTTCCGCCACTTCATCGTTGCTTGACATTCGTTGATTTGGCAAGCCCTTCTAGAATGAGCTTTTTGAGAGTTGGCAAAAATAGTTCTCGGCCAATAGAAATGGGTGGTTTTGTTGCTGTTCTGCCAAATATATTAATTCTAGCTGGTCATAGATTTCTACCGAATATTCTGACCACTTCTATAATCTTCGAGACCCTTTTTTATCGGCTACGTTGAAGTTGAAGTCCGCTAACTCCGACTGCGTTACCACGTCATTTCTGAATTTGCCATCTACTGCGCACAGCGAGCAAACAAGCAACCAAACGTCAAAACCAAGGCTAAGTATACCGCTCAACTACACTACCAACCCGAGCTATACCAACTCTCCAGCCATGTTCAGCACGTGGGATCTCGTCCGACCGCGCTTCTGGTACCCCCTGTCGTCTCTGGAGCAGTCCATGATGGACCTCGAACACATGAGCAACCTCATGAACCGCTCGCGCTTCCCCTTCGACATGGGCAGCGAGATGCTGGCGGCGCCAAGCAATGTTGACGACGACGAATTCTTCCGGGATCTGCCTGTGCTTTTGCGCGAGCAGAGACCGGCGACGCAGCACCGCGAGGTCGCTACACAGCCGACAGAAAAGGAGACCGATAACGTAGCGCACGACCCGACTCCGACCCGTGATAACGACCCGAACAAACAGACCGTCAAGGCCAAGGTCACCACTAGCACGAAGGCATTGAACAAGAAGCAGAAGCAGCAGTCCGACAACTCTGACAGCTCGAATGTCGATGCCGACAGCCAGTACCGCCGCGCCTTCTCGTCCTACACGTTCAGCAGCTCGTCCATCGTGGACGACAAGGGGCGGCGCGTGACAAGCTCGCGGCGCCGCTACGAAGACTCGACGGGCCGTCTGAAAGCGGTGCACGAGCGACAGATCGAGGGCAAGAAGCTGCGTACGACGTGGAACCGCATGCGCCCCGACGACGAGGGTCAGCACGAAGCCATCTGCTCGAGCGGCACGCCCGACGAGTTCGAGACTCTGTGGCAGCCGGAGAGGCACAGAAGAAGACTATCAAGGACCAACAGCGCCAGCAACAGCTGCAACCAGGACAACAGACCAAGACGCTGCAGCAGTAACAGCTTTCGGAGTCGGACGCGGAAAAGAAGGCAGCTCCGATGGAGGAGTAAACTGCGTAAAAAGTAGTTAGTGTTACCGACTCATCTCACTCTGATTAATTAACTTTTTTTAGCTAGGAAATTCTGTGAAGGTAACAATGTGTATGCAATCATGACCGTGACATTTGTTCATGAGTGTTAGTTTAAACCTACAGCACAACAGATCATCGCAACTGGATTAGATGGTGAACAGCAGCCGTGCAAGTGGCCAACGCGAAACCTTGTTGCCCATTTGCAACCGACTGTGGAGCGAAACTACCCAGTATCGCCAACTGTGTGAAAATGTGTAAGCACGACGAAGGTGCCGATACAAGGAAGAAGCTCAGCAAAGGACACAGATCCTCTGTTGCTCTACACGATATAGAAGCACCACAAAAAATTACAGAAGCCAAAGTTAGTTCTCTTACCTGCACTGAACGGGGTGTGGAAAGTCTCGTACATATTCAATTGTTGCGGTGAAGGTCTGCGCTCAATAGGTTGCGAAGCGTAGTATAACTTAATGGCACGATCAATCTCCCGACACACTTGCGCTAAGCGTTCAAGCTTTGCGTAGGGCGATCGCTCGGACGCCAAGTTGTTCATGTGGTGAATGGCAGCATTGTAGTGACGTAAAGTCAACAAGCGACATTCATTCCCACCAGCAATAAATTGCTTTTGCTGTTGTGGACCAGACCAACTCCCATCCAGTCGGAATATTGGCTTCACTTCGAAATATGTCAGAGGGTTAGTACGCGATAGTTCGGCAGTGTCGTCTACGAGCGAGTCTTCTCGCGAAAAGGCAGCAACGTACAGCCCATGCAGCACCGGCTGCAGCGCATCAAACAGTGCAGCCATAACACTACGTTGGACAGAGTTGCGCTGCTCTTCACTGCTCTGCAAAAATGGGTATTTAAATAGCACAACTTGTGTCAAAATTGCCGCAAATTGGGTCACATCGGCGGCAACAAGCGGCAACGTGCACGTCACGCGGTCCACGGAAACATCCCGCCGCGCTCCAAACCCTTGACCTCCATACTGCAGAAAGTCCGCATAGCAACTCCGAAATATATTGACAAAGGCTTGCAACAATTGGCGCAACGAATGATGCGTTGACGTTTTCGCCACCGTTTGGCCGTTGCGATGCGGAGCAGTCAGCACCAGGATCCCGTGCAGATGCCGTTGAATGAGGTTTTGCCTCTCGTGCCCCCGTTCACCTCGCAGATACTTCATCTGCTCCACGAACTTCTCGTCTGCAGCGCGTCCGAGATAGTCTCGCTCTGTTATCGGCAACTCGTCCAGCAACCTCGTCCACTTGACGTCTTCGTCTACAAGTTGAAGTTCGAGCGCACTTTGTCCCAACACAAAATTCAGTTTTGCGGTCGTATACTGCGTCGCAAGTTTCCTTCGTCCTTCATTCTCGTCTCCAGTGTCGTCACTGGCTTCGATTTGGTCTGTGATGCGCTGCAGCAGTTGCTCAAACTGCATTACCAGGTCGTGCAGACGTCTGGTGACGGCAACTTGTCTCATGGCTGTAAGCTCTTTCACTATTGTGTTGCGTCTCTCTTGTCGCTCATCTTCCTCTTGTAGAAACTTCAGTTGCTCGGCAGTGAGTTGCGCCTTGTCACAGCTCGAAGCAACAGGTTCGGATGATTTCGGATTCTGTTGACGAGCTACTTGTTGCGTTGCTTGGACCAATAACTGCTCAGTCACTTGCTGTACTAATGCACCGGTAGGAGTAGAAATCTTCAGAGATCTCGTGGGTATATGTGGGGCTGCAGTAGTGGTGCTGGAGGGCATGTAGGACAGTTCATTGCTCGCCAAGTCCATTAGCTCTTCCTCCAGATCACTCAAAATAATCATTCTGATATTTTAGAAGAAATTTTAACAAAGTCCATATTTAAAATAGTCATGATTGGCTGAAAAGAAAATAAATCCGTTTGACCGACGGTTAAAGTGTATGTATCGATGGCGAACACGAAGCCTCGCGGACGGCCACCGGCCGATGGCAACTTTATCGTGTGGACCGAGACTCTAGTGGAGAGCTTACTGAGGCTGAGGTTTGAGAAGTATGCGGAGCCGATGACGGCTGCAAGAGGCACCAAGTCGCTCCGAGTGGCATGGGCGGATTTGGCGAAGGATCTTACGCAGCATAATAACGGAGAAGTAGTGTCGGTGGAGCAGTGTCGCAATAAGGTAATTAAGAAAGCAGCTACAGTAGTGCACGGCCGATGCATGTGAATACTTTCGTAAAATATGAAAGCGAGGTTAACCTATCTTTCATTGCTGCCAGCTCAAGGCGCTAAGGAACAAGTGGCTGGCTTATCACTCTGGGATGGCATCAGAATCCGTGTGTCTAGCGCTTATGGACACCTGTTGGGGTAGCGAGAAGGATGAAGCGGCGCCGATCAAGTCGCAACGTCCGTCGAGACCGAGTCTGGAACGTCACAACCAAGTCAAGAAGCAACGAGTGGGGGCTTCTTCGGCTTCAGATGCTGAAGGGAGTTCACCGATTTCCATTGCACCAGCTATTGCGCCGCCCCCACCTGTAGGTGTATCCTCGGAAACCCCGATATTGAGCTCGACTGCAGCTTCAGTTGAGACTGAAAAGCCTCCGTCGACAGCAGCTTCAACTTCGCGTCCGACGAAGTCTAAACCAACTCAGATACTTGGTGGGGGGAATCAGAAAGATCTTGCATCGGATGCCACAATCGCTAGTGTTCAGGACCGCTCGATCGACAGCACGGGTTTGCCGAAACTCGAGAAATTAATCGACAACCGCTTCGCTAAGGTGCTAGATAACCAGAACAAGCAGTTGAAGCTGGCTGAGGAGCAAAACCGCTTACTGACACAGATACTCGCGGCGTTGCAGCGTGGCTAGCGCTAAAGACTACACGGAAACACTGGAGTAGCTGGTGCCTTAAGCAACCACGAGTAGTAACACATGCCGAATATTTTACCTTTTCTTACCTCTCAAACTCTATTTTACCAGCATCAATGGATTTACAACTAATATTTTCATTTTATTGACCTTTCTTAAAGTTCGCTTCGAGCATGCTGAAGAACGCAGTTCGGCTGCGATCATGCAGCTTGCCGTTTGCTTTAACGTGGGCTCTTCTGTCTTTTAGCGTGGCATTTGCTGTAAGGAGTGGTGTTTCGTATTGACGCACTCTTTATTGGAATTCCCTATACGCGTCTTATTGTGTGCTTTCTATTAGGTCACCACTTCCACAGTATACTACCGCCAGCAGATCGGTGGGTCTATCTTTGCCATCGACGGACGAGATGGCAGCGACACGGAAATTGAAGGTTCCGGTGAATATGCGCGCTTTGTGGGATTAGCGATTCATCGGCGTCATAATCGTATTTTCTGGAGCGATGGCCGAGTTATCAAAAGTGCAGATGCCACTGACGGATCAGACGTGAAAATTAATGTCGGGGCACTAGCCCGCGTTGTATGGGTGGGGTCGAATTTTGGCCAAACACAAGCTGACATTCAACGTTTAACAGTGAAAGGCTCCCGATGTGTCAGCATTATTTCGTGGTCACCAGAGCGCGTCGAGTGCATGGTCGGCCTTCCACTGCGCTTCTCTCAAACTCAACTCCCTTTTGTAAGTGAGGGTGATTGCAGTATCCAGACAGAACACGGAGTCATGACGGGAAGTGCACTGAACTACAACGAAATGTTTGCGTCGGGAACTCCCTCACCGATTGTTGAGCGCATTGACATTTCCGCAAAGTTCGTTCTTCCGCATGCTTTGGTCATCGATGATCGGGAAGGAGAAGAGTGGCTCTACTGGTCAAACTCGGAAGACGGTACGATATACCGTAGCAGTTTACAGTCAACTGTCATCGAGGTGTTGCAGCGTCGTTGTTGGAGTGTGCGAGGCTTAGCACTAAATATCTTTCAGGACTCTGGGAACGAAAAGCTATTTCTCTTGTACTCACTTGAGTCCAAAGGGACCATCTCCCAGATCGAGTTACCGGTATCCCAGATGATTTCCTCTCCACAGTCATCAAAAGTACTGATCAGTGGTCTGAGGTCTCCTCGAGGCTTAGCTATGGATTCTACCAACCAAATCCTGTTCTTCACCGAGAAGACTGGTCGGATTTTTCAGGCAAATCTCGGCAACCGCATGACAGCTCGTCAAAAAGCGAACATCTTACCAGATGACGCATCGATTGTATCACCAGGAGTGGATACTCATCGAGTTGTGACGCTGACATCTATGACGAGACTCGATGGCATCGCTGTCGATTCCAAGTAAGATTATCTTGCATTTTATGGAATAAATGTTTGATGATGGGACTAACCATCCCTTTCTTTGGCAGATATCTCTATTGGTGTGAAACCAACACAAACATTGTGGCGAGAGCTCTACGTCGAGACTTTCAGCGGCAGGTTGTAGTCGGGGGCACTGCAAACTCCATGTTGAGGTCAGTTGTATAGGTACTCATACCTTTTTGTTGTTGTACTCACCGCTTATCTTACTTCCAATTTTTGCTGCTCTAGTTGGCCCCGTGGTGTCGTTCTCGGTTCCGACGATGGGAATATCAACGATAAGAAAGACAGTTACTACTACTCAGAATACACCGGTCGGGTGTCGAAAGGTGTATCACAGACCATCGTCGTTGACGAGCTAAGCGCTCCTGCGATGCAGTATTTGGACAGCGTAGTGCAGCAAGCATCTATTCAAGGAGGTGGGGAGCACGTCTACTTGTACGCATTGGAATAGAACAAAGGTGCAAGTCATCTTGTCCAAGTTTAAAACTGGCAATGAGCGGGATGTGCTCTTGCAGTAAGTTGCCTAATTACGGATGCACTTGAAGTACAAGTATCTGCTAGCGTTAGGATACTGTTGCTCAGGTTGTCATTTCTTTACTGATGTACATGTATATAATTAAGTGGACTATGGATGACGCGGTGAAATAGTTATCAAGACTTGAGCGTGTTGTGCATCTCACTCACTCTTCAACTCGACTTGCAACAAGCAACTCAAAGCAGCAACGATGGCGTCTTTGTCCACGACTTCGCTGGCAATTCTTCTTGCCATCAGCGCCACCTCGACAGGTGCCGACAATCTCCGCTTCGAATCGCGCAACCTGCAGGCAAAATATACGTCGACAGGCCAATACGCCGCTAGTATGCTGGCTAGCGTGAATGCGCAACGTGCTGCTCAGGGACTCCCTGCTCTCTGTTTGAACACTAAACTGATGGCGGCGTCAATGCGTCACTCGACCGACATGGCCTCCAAGAACTTCATGAGTCACACGGGCTCGGACGGGTCGACGATGTCGATGCGAGTCACCGCTGCCGGCTACAAATGGACCAGAGTGGCTGAGAACGTTGCTGCCGGGCAATCGAGTGTGGCTACCGTCATGACTGCGTGGATGAACTCGGCCGGTCACCGAGCCAACATTTTGGGCGACTACACCATGTTCGGCACTGCGTACGCCTACAACAGTGGCAGCACGTACAAACACTATTGGACACAAAACTTTGGCAAGGGCAGCACCGAGTCGTGCAACTACGAAGATGTCGAGTACGAGGATGCCCCGACTCCAACTCAGAACACGATGACCGATTCCACGGACAATTCGACGGTGGTGCTCCCCAACGAGCCTGCCCCCCAAGAGAGCAAGTCTGCTAGCGAGAGGTACAAAAATAGCAAGCATAGAGAAGAGTCGATTTATTATAAGAACGCAAAAAAATAAAATCTATAATTACTTTTTTTTAATGGTGTCTAGCTCCAGAAGCGTGCAACTCACTACTCTCACCGTTCTATCTGCATCACAGTGGTGTTTGTCACGCGTCGATTCGTGCTCACTTGTTGAGCTCGCGTCCGTTGATTCGGGGCTGAAGTCGTGCCCGCTGCTTCTCCATGGAATATCATTTTCGTCGTCGATATCGTCGTTGCCTCCTTTTCCAAACACTTGCGTCCACGCGTGCTTGTATTTACTTGATCGGTTGTACGCAAATGCTGCACCAAAGACGGTGTAGTTTCCCAGAATGTTACGGCGATGGCCTGGAGACTTCATCCACGATTCCACCACTGCGTTCACATTCTTTTGACCGGCTGCAACATTCTCCGCCACTGCTCCACCGGTGAAACCAGCGTCGGCAACTCGCTGCGCCATCTTGGACCCATCGGATCCTGTGTGGCTCATAAAGTTGTTCGCTGCCATGTCGTCTGCCTGACGTTGGGCTGCAGCCTGTAGCTTACTGTGCATGCGCAGACAGGGCTCCCGATTATGGCATGGTCTTTTCAATTATTTCTTATGAAATCATAAAATTATTTATTTCTTCGATTACCTGGATGTTATTAATAATTTATTTACTTAAGGAATCATCCGACATAATTTATGAGCAATATCCTTATGTACCTCTCACAACCAACCATGACTTTTCACTACTGTACTTAAATTCTCACTTCTCTAAGGACACAGCTTGCTCACGTCCTCACTTTTTAATTTGAGCAACTCGAACAAAGCCCCTCGCTAAGCTACTATAGTCCATTCCATCCACTTCTAACATTGTTGAGAGGTTCTTTAGCGACACCAGGACGACGTACGGGTAAGAGCGCCACAGCTTGCAACCTATTACATTAGAAATGGTGCTGTTCTTACGCCAAAATGGTGAGTATTGGTCAGTTCAGACTGTCGACGAGGTCACTCGCTAATTTTAACATGGTGTTGGTCTGCTTTACATTATGCTCTTATTTATTGTTTGTGCGCAGCACATGACATAATGTATGTGATGACACTAGCTGCCCAATGCCATTATTTATGGTTAAAGAGGGTTCCCATTAAATAACAATGCCAAAATCGGGAGCCCTGTGCGCAGAGGTGGGAGGCTCTTTGTTGCGCGCTCTTGGTTCACACGCTCGAGCATGGAAGCGAGGTAGTCCCTTGGTTGCATGCTGTGGCTCAATGGTACGTTACTGTAAGGTGTGGGTGATTAGGAGCTCTTCCTTTACGAGAACGCACTATGGTCGGAATGAAGTTTGCAAACTTTGGAAGTTAAGTCACTTGTTCCGGGAGTTTCTCAACCACCCAGCAAGTTTGCAGCGACTTATTTGTTGTGCAACTTTTCGAAGTCTTCGGTGAAGCACTCCCATTAAATGAGCAAAAAAAAGGCGGTCGGAGGACAGGCATGATTTTGCCAACTGAAACAGGCGCATCATGTAACAAAAGTTATCGTTTTTTATTCGTTTGACTTTCGCTTCACTTCCTGCGCCTCGAAGCGCTCCCTGGTTTCCGGTTTCATGACCGACTTGATTCCGTCCATTAATGATTTATTCTTGTCTAACTCGCCCTGCATTAAACCACACCTCCATCAGTCTGGTCCACACAACGACAAGATATTTTCTCTTGCTGTGACGCACCAAGTAGCAGCGTGTGTAGGCCTCATACTCCTTCTGACATCCCACTTTGCGGTGCGCCTTCTGCTGCAAGAAAACCTCCGTGTACCACTTGTCGAAGCACTGCTCGTACGCCTTCTTCTTCTGCCAGCAACCAGGCTTCTCCTGGGTCTGCTCCTGATCCGCCATTTTTGCCCTTCTCTCGAATTTAATTTAATGAGCGGCTGCAATTATATCGCACTCAATCACTTGAATAATGTATGTCGGAATAAAAACCTTCGATCGGAATTAGTGCTCTTCAAGATGACCGCAATTATAAGAGCAAAAAACAACACAAAATGGTCCGCCACATGATCATCTACCGGGCGTGCTGGAACTGCATTTGATACTGCTGGGACGTCTGGAACGGGTGCTGCAGCTGCTCTCGCTGTAGCTGAGCCGGCAGCGACTGATAGGAGCTAGCGATGGACGGCGTCGGGCCACCCGGCACCATAATATGGTGACCGCTAAGGAAGCATTGGTCGCACACACGTTGCGGCTCAGACAATGCGAACTTGGGCAGCGACACGCGGTTCGTCGAGTGCTGGCTGCACACGCTTTGGCCGCAATTCCGACAGTGATGACGACGCTTCACCAGTGTGAACCCGCACGCGCATACGTGGCACATACGCGACTGTTTCCAGCGAGGAGGGAAGGCCGTCTTGCTACGAGGACCGGCGCCCATACTCCTCGAGCTCATATTGACGTTGACGTGGCTACTTTTCACGTCTTCGTTGATCTGAAAGCCAGACATCATCGTCATATCCGGTGGTCCCTTGGACGGGTCGAACAAGCCCAGAGGCATCGAGTCGTCCGCAGTCGCGATCGAGATCAGGTCGTTCTCTCGCTCACGGAGACGCTGCTCGGTCAGCAACGACTTGACGTGCGGGTCGCTTCGTGACAGAGTGCTGCCGCGTTCACGATCTAGGCCCACCCCGAAGCCGCTATACATACTAGCGCCACCGTAGTTTCCCTGTGGTGGGTCGTAGAACGAGTCTTGGTCCGACACGCTCCTCTCGAGTCGCCCCTTACGCTGAAACGGCTGCGGCTGGTAGTGTCGATGGTGTTGCTGGTATTCGAGCTCGTCCTCGTCCACTTCGTCTTCGGATTCACTGTAGTACGTGTGGTTCTGGTGGGGTAGGTAGTCTGATCCATCGCGGATATCGTCGTGTAGGATGGTATGGTTATTGTACGGAAGATGGTAGTCTATAGTCTCCGTGGTAGGCTCTCCGTCGTCCTTACCCATGAGGTCGTGTTGGTGCAATTCACCTCCGTCGTCTTCCGGGCGGTGGCTGCCGTGCGCGGCTGCGCGTAGAACCTCGAGGATGCGCTCGCCACACTCGGCCTGAATGGCCAGATCGATGGGTAGATGGCCGGCGTCATTGCGCATGTGCACGGCGTATGGGTTGGCGAAAATCACCTTGACCACGATATCAGTGGGTGCGTCTTGGTGCAGACAAACCCAGTGCAATACCGTCATGCCGCTGGCGTCCGTGCGCTGTGCTACCTGGCGGTTCTCGCGCATGATCGTGAGCAGCGAGTCCCAGTCGCCATTGATCGCATGCAGGAAGTCGCCGTCCATTGTGGCTGCTACGGGGGGGAAGGCGTGTATTAGGCGGAGGGGGGCTTGCCGTGGCTTGGGACGTCCCTGGAGAGAGCTCTCTGACGTTGGGGATATGCGCTCGGCGCTCTTGACTGACTTTGTCTGTCTAGCCGCGCTCGGCGATTTGGCGATAGGCCATTATTAATAAGTGCGGCATACATGCAAAGACGCGACGGATGGACCTTTTCGACCAATAGGTAATGCGCAGGTAGGGGTGGGAGGGCATTCATTATGAATTTCAAAAGACATTGGCGCAACCTTGAGGTAACATTTACGGTGAGAGGTCTTTCTCTGGCACGATGCCGCGCGTTGTAGTTTTGGAGGACTGTTCGCCCGGCACCGCTCCACTCCCGCTCTATGGCCAGTGGTGGAGTTTTGCTTTGTGTACATGTACAGCAGCGCGAGAGCTTACAGTACATGTATCCTAGCTTACAGTACATGTATCCTGGATAATGTACCGGTCCGGAGAGCCCATGCCTTGACCACCTCAATGACTCATTGACTCATTGACTCATTGAGGTGGTCAACTCCGGACCGGTACATTATCCAGGATACACCTCATTGAATGAGGTGTGAGGGTTTTTGATGCCACCCCGAAAACCGGATGCACTGCAGAGCAACGCAAAAAAACATTGGAGATTAAATAAGAAGCTTGAGAAGAGAGCTCCGGCCTTTCGTCCAGCAGCGTATTGCTTGTCGATGTCAATAGCAATCGGTTACCGACATGACATGAATGTGGCTCTACAACAGCATGTTGCTGTCGAAACAAAATGTACCGTTTGACTTTAACGCCACGTAAGGATTATCAATGCTAAGTTATCATACAACATGTAGCTTGAATCAAGCTGCTTGATGCACCTCAAACAAACGAGGCTCAAAGTGAAACATGCACGCGATGGTATCCTTTCGTCGACACTATTACTATCTACTGTACATGCACCTGAACTTCCTACCGATACTCGATCTATTAGGCTTGGCAAACCCTTTCTTCGCAGGGGGCAACACGCAGGTTCGCATTTCATCAGCTCCAAATTCAAATCTCGCGTCATTTTCTAAAGGCTTTCGTGGGCTTGGTGAGCATGGATATTAATAATCTCCAAAGAGCGAGCAGGGGGAAACATAACAAACTTCCAGAAATCCCCCATGCCATCATAATTCAAAAGAAAATTGATCGACACTAATAATAAAGTTGCGCTTGAACAATGCTGTGACCGATGTTCTGCGCAGAAATGGACGTATACGTAGCGTATCAAACGTTTGGTAGTAAGCGTTCCGGTATCCAATGACAGTGTCGTTACGACATCAGATCGATGAAGACCTCATCCACAACGATTCGTGGGAGCCATTGCTGACATGATAGCACAGCTTCTCTAACATTTCAGTTCTTTAAAATTTCAATCAGAAAAATCGTAGCATGATATTTACGTAAGGAGATAAATACGCGTAGCCCCCTACACTTCCAGCGGTTGTTTGCGTCCTGCTGCAGTCTCATCGTCGATGCTAAGCATTTTCTGTACGCTGGAGGGGATCTCTCCTCCAAAGAGCCGCTTAAACACGCCCACTTGATCCCAGCAGTGATGCTGCTGGGCGATTCTCAGCTCCTGGAAAACGACGTATGTAGTGACTGTGAACGTCAAATCCGATGATTTAATCGCCATCAACGCCACGCGCATGGTAGCTGGGCAATCCTCCGAGGCACACACGCGCTCCAGGTGCTGCGCCGACGCGATCTCGCCCTGTATGCGCCACTTGGTCAGGATCATTTCCCCGTCAGGCAAATGCGGTCGCAGCTCCACGATGTCCACCACGATACTCGTGAACACGGAGCGAATTATGTTCCACAGACTGATGGTCTGTAAACGTCCGAACGCGTCCCATTCGCGTACGCCTACACCAATCCGGCAGTCTTCATGCCATACTCGAGATGCGTCGCCCAGACTCAGATACGCGGCATTGAGCAGCTCCACCATCTCCGTCACCACCTTCGTCCTCTCCGCCAATAGTCTCTGCGTATTCGCGCGGTTCTCCACGCCGGGCACTCCAGACGCCCCCATGCCACGTAACCCAGCCAAACTACTTAGCGCCGACGCAGCGCTTGCTGCATTCCGACCTGCCGCATTTTTGCCCAATAACAAAGCCTGTTTCAGATGCAGATTGTCTCGTTCCAGGTTGCGCACGTGTTGTTCCAGATCTGTGAGCTTCGTATGTCTGAAGGCCGCACCACTCGAGCCCACGCTGGATCCAGGTCCACTGCGAGTCCCCAGCGGCTTTTCCTCGGCTGCATCGTCCTCATCGTCGTCCCCTTTCGTCCGCTCGTTATCTGACTCTGTGTCCTCGTCATCCTTCTGCGTTTTGGGGCTAGGCCGTGCGTCGCGCTCGTTAGTTTTAGGGCGATGGTTACCGGTCTCTCTTTCGTTGTGCACCTTCCGACGCTTGTGCGTCTCAGCGCCGCTCTCCTGTTGCGCGTCGTCCATCTCGCTAGGGAACGTGTCCAACAACTCGTTCAGCGCGATGACCTCGGGTTCCGCAAGCTGTCGCTTGGACCCCGCGCTGCTACTCGAGGCTGGAAATGCGCTGGTTGACGCGTCTGTGCTTCTGCTTGCTGACGCGCGTCCGTTTGCTGTACTGCTGTCGGCGGTGGGCAGCGAAGAGCGCGGAGGAGGCACCATCTGGAAGGGAGCAAACCGTGACTGGTTTCTTCCTTCACGTTCAGCTTTTGGTGTGCACACCATAATCCATTTGTACACCACACCACCTTAATCAGGTACAAAGACAAAGCAATCTTGAAGTTATCGACACACGAATGACAGACTTCACTATCGCTCATTTTTGGCAACGTGGATGACCAAGACGCCGCTCATGCGCGCGCCTTAGCGCCACCTTTCCAGCAGACCGCTCGTGTAAGCTAAACCGCACTATAATTACAAACAGCATCGTCAAATTATTAAAGTTCCACCTTATAATTGTCCAGAAATCGTCGTTCCGCGTCTTGGGACGGCAACAAATCGCTGCCGGCGGCCCCAGTAAGAGCGCACTGAGTGCTCTATGGATGAATATACACGTCTTTCCGACAGATAGTTAGGTAGGATTGTGATCAGGTTAGGGGATGTCAAATTTACGCTAATTGAATATCTTCATTTTCATCTTTTGGCCAATGGCATCCCATGTGGGTAGGTCTCTTATTCCGACAGCTTCCGACAAATATTTGTTGGAAGCGCAGCCAAAATATTTATGGCTGGATACAAATACTCAGTAAAAAAAGTATTTTTGAAATATTCTTGTCATTCCGACAACAAGGTCCTCCAGTACTTCGAAGGAGCAAGTATTCAAGTACGTGTTTAGAAAAATGATAAAATAACATGCCTCAACAAAAACTATTAGTAAGCTTAGATACACATGTACATGTACTGCATTTGTTTTATTAAAATAGCGTCTTTGCTAACCTCTCATTGTGATTCTAGAGCCTGGGTGTGACGCAGTCTTGTTGCGTGGTCAGGACCACCAGTCACCAAGCAGCAGAAGAAGGCCACGCTAACCAACGTGATGTGTACGACCAACGCACCAGCACGCGCAACAAGCCTGCGCCGGGTATTTCTAGTACATTTACTTGACAGTCCACCTCCACTGCCTCCACCTCGGCATCTTCCACAGTCTCGAACACCGCCTTCATGGCCTCGGTCGCCGCTACGATAGCCACGCCCACCAGCGTCATGTTCGTCTACACCGCCACGGCCTCAGAAATGGCACTGTGCGTTTCCTATTCCACCTCTTCTGCCAGCTTGTCTCGCTTCGCTGAATCTCACCGGGAAGCTGCCACTCGCGACACCGCTTCACACGCTGGAGTAGTCGAGACGCTTAGGAAGAACCATGCTTACATTCTGCACATTCAGCCGAGCTCTGCTCACCCAGCGCAGAAGCATCATCAAAGACCAGCGACACCGCCTGCCTTGTCTCCACTGGAGCCTTGTTCACGAACTCCTTCGTGGCACGAAGTTCGTGCGTAGGTCCAGGCTTCGACGCCGCCACGAGTTCGCCAAACGATGCGCCACCTCCACGCGCTGCACCGCATCCCGCATTCGTGAAATCATCACCATAGAACGGCGCCACCGAGTTCACCTGCTACAGACACGTCCGATCCAATCGACGCCAGCGCCGACACAACAAACTTCGTCACGCTCGCCGTGCTAGCACCATCGCGCGCCTGCACGCCGTCAAACACTATCGCACTCATTGACGAGCCCATGTCACGCCCGTACACACCACGCCCAGTACTCCGACCACACCGTCGCGCTGTAGGGCGTGCACCGAGCGGACGTACAAGTCGAGCATCGACACCTGCGCCGTGTCGTCCTCCGGTATCCCCAGCAGGACCACCCGCTCTACACTCGATAGCACGCCACCAGCACGCCTCCCTGCTGCCGCTGCCCTTCACGCTCGCTCGCCCGCCGCTCCGCGCTCTCACCTAATACCAGCACGCCGCCCTGCACGCTCGCTCGCCCGTCACCAGTGCCACCGTTGCCGCCGTATCCGCCGCCGCTGCCCTTCACGCTCGCTCGCCCGTCACCAGTGCCACCGTCGCCGCCGTATCCGCCGCCGCTTCGCGCTAGCTCACGCACCAACCGATGACGCACTGACGCCGTCGACCCATCCCTCCACCTAGCCATGATGGCTGCCATCATTCTCCCAGGCCACTCTTTTTAAAATAAAAGTTTCACGTATTTATAACGTTAGAGATACCGTATTTGTTTTAAATAATAAATGGTGTTTGGTACCTGAATCTGTCTGTTGTTCCGAGCTGTCGGAAACATGTCGGAAAGGGGTAGGGTGTCGGAACGGTTGCGATATGGGTGGATACCTTCGGGCTGATGAAGGAAGGGTCCTTCCGCAGCGAGAAGGAGAACGTGGACGAGGATATTCTGCAGTGTGGCAAGGGACCATTCGCTGTGGAGGTGGACATCATGCAGCCCATTGACCCAGATAAGGCGCCAAAGGTTCACGTGCCTCCGCTCAACCACATTAGACGGTGGATTGACGATCTTCCAGCGTGTGTGAGAATGAGTTGACTGACAAGGGCGTACGCATTACTCCTGGAGGCATCCGCAAAGGTGCTGCGGGCATCAGCGTAGCCTTTATCCACCCCAAGGGGAACGACGCCACTGCCCTATCGGGGGAAGGAGTACTCATTGAGCTCGTGCAGGCCCCGGACAGCATCATCAAGGCTTTCGAAGCTATCAAGGAAAAATAGGCCGTAACGTTAAAATCTTTGAAATTAAATGTAGGACGGCGTTCGTTTCCCAGATATCTATTTAGTGATTAGGTTTACTCAGATGCAGGTATCTCCAGGTTCACGTCCAGTACTCCTTCAGGTTTCGACTTCTGGCAGGTAATTTATGAAATAAATTCCCGTCCAAATATTACGCAGGTATCGAGAGCTTGGATACCTGGAATAGTCATGTGTGCGCTACTTGGGCAAAAGTCGAAGTGATGAAGAACTTGTCTTGTCGGCATGGCAAACCCACGGGGAGTCAAAAGCTTGAATGGGTATCTTCTTGTCAGCAGCCAGGTATTGGCCAGGTAAATGCCATGTACTTGTCAAGTTACCTCTTACCACGACACATGCTGCAGCTACGAACGACGTCTGATCTTCAGAATTTCGAGTAGCATTGCCCAACGTAACTTCGTAATGCCAGAAGAAGTTACATCACTTGGCGCCTCGCTGGACACGCACTTCCACATGTGGAGACACACAAGACTCCACAACTATCACCATCTTTCTACAGGTTCTTTAATGTGATTCACCTGGAACACTTCCTGCATTGCCGATGCAACCTCGCTCGTAATGCCTTCAAGACGTTTAACGTTCTTGGCAGAATTCAGGCTGTCGTACAGGTGAATCACCTTCGAACTGCCTTCGATCACTAAGCAGCCCCAGTGAACTCCCTCAAAATTGACAGGCACCAACACAAACTGACAAACGGCTACAGAAGCGCAAATCTCCAAACGTTTCTTCTCCGGAAGCACCGGCTCCACATTAGCTGGTTTTTTTCTTGGTAACTTCTTAAGTGGAGGCATCGTCACCGTGGCATTGCTCTTGTAGCGCTGTAGAAAGACCGAAAAGGCGTGCATGGCGCCATCGTTGAGCCACATGGACCCTCGAACACAATAGATGTCGGCCATTGTGATGTCAATTCCGAAACCTGGCAAAGTTTTGTATGGCCAGGTATTCAGAATGTCATTAATTGCAGCAACCACTGGAGGTGTTTCGTCCACAAGTTGTTTCACCTCGTTATTAAGCCAAGTGCATAATGCAACGCCACGTTGGCACGTAAAGTCACCGTATCTCCGTTGTCTACAATAGCGTAACTGCTCACCACGTCCTGGTGCACGGCAACATCATATTGTGTCTTTATAGCAGCAGCTACCCATCGCGTCGTCATGCCCAGCACAGCGTTCATCTCCTTTGTGTATGTAGTATTACGTAACGTTCCTGGCATCTCCACCTTGGCGTAGTATTCCTCCTCCTTTCGCCACTGGTATGATAGTAGCGCTTTTAAGCTGGAATTCATAGAGAAATGGCCCTTGATCTGCTGCTTCACTTTGCCGAACAAGCTCTCTACACGGTTGTTTGTGTGATTCTGAAAGTGAGGCAAAGCAACACGATACGCCATGACCCACATGTCCTTGCAATTTTCCCAATTCTCTTGAAGATAATCCCACAAATCTTGTCGTCCTCCTCTAAGCGACAAACACTTAAACTCATCACGGTGAGTCACGTAATCTGCTTCCGTCCTAGCGTAGGTCATGTTCGTGATCGTGTGTTTCATTTGGGCCAGCACGTCCGCTTCAATGCTCCGTATTTACTCGACATCCGAATCGTGTCATGTAGCCATTTGATTACGTGAAAGTGGCATAGCAAAATGCGCGCCTCCGGCAACTTCTGTCGCAGAACTTCCACCTCTCGCATATCCTTATCCACAATCACAATCCGCAAGAAACGCCAGTGCTCATTTGCACGCTTGAAATAATCATTGCTCTTTGCCATCTGCCAGTCGCCGTTCGTCTCTAACAAAGAATACTGGACAGGCTGTCCATTGCCAAACTGGTCCATCGCAACCATCGAGAGTAACTGATAGTTGTATCTAGTAATGGAAGAAAAAAAGATAAATACCTGGAAAAAACATGGACAATCCCCGGAACTAAAAAAACAGCTATGACTTACTTGTTCGTCTTGTGCGTGCAGTCCATTTGAAGGACCTCAGGAAAGCTGTCCAACATGGATCGCATGTGCCCCGTCGTGATTAAAATGACCCCGGTGTTTCCACGCGCACTCTGGTATAACGAGGACACGCTCTGCGGAGACTCCATGTTAAAGTTCACGATGGCTTCAGCTACTGCGTCATCATCGGACAGTTCTACACCTAAGGTAATCAAAGTAATCATTAGTACGTGATCACCATAAAGCAATCAAACTTACGAACACACCAAACACTTACCGGAGCGACGCAAGCGGGCGATCAAATTTCGGACGTCTGTCATGTGCTCTGAGTTTTCGCGAATGTATTCGTAGATACTTGATGTCGTGGCCTGCGATTGCATCAGTAGCTCAACGCCAGGGACCAACGGGGACTGCGTAGACATCTGTCGAATACCTGGGTAGTGCTGGTAAATCTCTGGAGAAACCAGGTGGTTGTGAGAGTAAATTTCGCGCTTAAGAGCTATTCCCCACGAACCATTATCCATGCGATTACCCTGCGCAAGAAACTGGAAAGGACATTCGGTCCGCCGAAGGTTGTGCAGTGTGCGCTTGCCTGTCGACCGCTCACGCGTAGGCCACCCGTGAGTACAAATGTACTTGCGCTGATACGGACCCATGTCCTCTGGGACGAGTGGGATCTCCTCTTCCGGGAGATCTTTGTACTGGAGATGGTTCTTGAGTGCTGAGTTACGCCGAGCGACACTTATCTCCTCCTTCACGACAAGCACTTGTCGTGTCGCCCGCATATACATCTTGAGCCCTTGCTCGAATGCTGCCCAGGTAGTATGCTCCTCCTCAAACGGCGGAACGGGAACAAACAAATCGTCATCAACGTCTGCAACCGAGCGCTTCTTTCCTTGCCGTGGAGACGGCTTGTCGCTCATCGCCACATTGCTCCGCCTATTAGCAGTGACTTCTTGTTCAGTCTTCTCTTCCCCTTTCTGCACAGCCTCCGGCTGTGAAGCGGTGCCTCCCTCGTTATCGCCTGCTTCGTCGTCATCGTCTGCTTGGCCTTCATCACCGTCGCCTTCCAGCTCATCAACTTCTTGGTCATCTTGACCGACTCCATGGGGGCCAAATAACGGCGTCGCTGTCTCTGCTCGGCTCTCCCTTGCGCGTTGAATGGCTACTGCTTTCTCAGACCTAGTGCGGGCGTTTTCGATGTTAACACGATGCATGGTATCCTCAGCAGCAGCTTCCTCTCGGACTGCCGCTGCCGCGCGGGCCTCCTCTTCTCTTAGCGCCTCCTCCGCCATTTGCTGCTTGATATGCGCTGTCTTGTGGGTGCGAGCCATGGCGCTGTACGCGTTCGCCGCGAGAGGAAGAGCTGCCGAGTGGCTTCTTCTCCCCGGATGAGTGGCTGGGAGATCGACGAAAAAAAAATTCGAACGAAAATCGGTAATAAAAAACCCTGGTAACCTGATGAAATATTTGGAAAATACCTGGTCCGAAATACCCGGACGTGAACGTTGCCCTTGGAAAATACCTGGTCCGAAATACCCGGACGTGAACGTTGCCCAAATGTAACTATTAATGAATACGTTCGAACTTGCAACATAGATGTACCCATGATGCCGATTTTGAAATGGGTACATCTTCGTTGCAAGTTCAAAGTGCTCGTTGCTAAATAGCAGCTTGCTCTACACACACTCTGAAATCGCATCATGGCAGCCGACGTCAGCGCCCGGGTGCACCTCGTGGCCGAGAAGCTGCAGCAGAAGGCGCAGGATGCGCAACGCAAGGGCAACGAGGGCGCCGCGCGCGCCTTGGCGTCCTCTGTGTCGGATCTGCGTCAAGCCATGGCGCTCATCGCGGAACAGCGGCATTTACTGGCGCGTCGACGTGGCGAGGGCGATGAGGAGGACGACGACGCTGACGCGCACACCCAGGAGCTAGCAACGCGACTTGCGCGAGTAGAGACGATGCTGGGTAAGAAGTCGGACGATATGAAAGCCAAGGGCAACGAGAACGCGGCGGCGGCGCTGCAACAGTCGGCGTCGACCGTGGAGCAAGGCCGCAAGCGACTCATGGAGCAACAGCAGACGATCTTTGGACTTCTGGGACGCTGGGAAGCGATAGAGGACGTGGTAGACGGTAAGAAACGCGACAAGGAGACGCACAAGGAGCAGGAGACGCCTCCTGAGCGACTTATTGCCCGAGTGCGTCGTCTTGTGCAGCTGGAAGCTGTTATAATGGAAAGTTTCCACGAGCATAACGAGACTGAAGTGAAGATAGAGATAGAGAGACTCAAACAGGGAGACAGGGAGCTGGAAGCTGCGCGAGAAGAAGCGTTGGAGGCTCAGGAGAGGCTGAAACAGGAAAGTTTGGCACTAGAAGAGCTGAGGCAAGAGCTGGAGAGGACGAAGGAGAGAGAAACGCTGAGACAGGAAGAAGACGCGATGCTGCTGGAGCAACAGCGAGAAGCGTGCCAAGCGATGGAGCAGCTGGTGCGTGAGAGCGACCAGGAGATCCAACGCATGACGCAGAGCGCAGCGTATCAGGCTGAGGAAATGCAGGCTCTGAGAGTTGAGGTGGAGAGCATGGCGTCGGAGAAAGAGAGACTGGTGAGAGCTCACGCGGATGAGGTGGAGGAGCTGCAGGGACAGCTGGAGAGCGTCATGGACGCGCTCTCGACGAAGGCTGATGAGGGGGAGAGACGTCGTGCTGAAGAGCTGGAGGAATTGAGGGCTCAGTTGGAGAGTTTGGCTTCAGAGAAGGAGAAATTGGTGACACAGCACGAAGATGAAGTCCAAGAGCTGCGTCTTAAGGCGGAGAGTGCGACGGCTTCTGTCGATACGAAGGATGCGGAGTCAAATGGTGAAAAGCTTCAGACGCTTCAGGCTGAGATTGACGCGCTGACTGCCGAGAAGGAAGCTCTTGTTAAGGTGCATGCAGATGAGGTGGAAGAGCTTCAGCAGACGCACTCTATAGAGGTGGAGGAGCTTCGGCGAAGGCTGGCAAGTGCGGGAGATGAGTTATCGACAAAGACAGGAGAAGAGAATGCAGCAATGGGTGAAGAACTCGAGGTGCTGCAGGCCGAGGTGGATAGTTTGACTCAAGAGAAGGAAGTCATGGCAAAGACACACCTGGACGACGTTGAAGAGCTGTGTGATACACACAGAGACGAGATGGAAGAGCTTCGCAGTCGCATCGAAAGCGCTGCTGCGGAGAATGATGAGATCGATACGCGAAATGAGGAGCTGCAGGAATTACGAGATGAAGTGAAGAACTTGAACTTGGAGAAGCAGCAGCTTGCAGAGACCCATGCAAACGAGCTTGAGGAACTTTGCGCAACGTACTTGGACGAAATCGAAGAGCTCCGTCTTCGCTTTGGAAGTGCTGCACCTGTCAATCCTGCGGCAAGTGACGAACTACAGCAACTGAGGGCGGAGGTGGGAGCCTTGACTATTGAGAAGGATCGTCTCGTCAAGGCGCATGCTGATAACATTGAGAAGCTTCATCATCAGCTAGAGAATGTAAAGAGCGATGCAGAAAGCGTTTCGGAAGATAAAGTGGAGGCTGATGTCGATGAAGAGGAGGAGGTTGGTGCGTGTCCGGAGAATGCCGATGTGCCTTTGTTGGAACTTGAAGAAGACGACTCACAGCCAGTGGATTTAGCTGAAGATCAAGTAGAGACAAGCGTTGATGGGATTGCTTCGAGTACGGTACCAGAGATGCAGACTTTTGACGAGTTACAAGACAACGAAGAGCGTTCGCAAGCTCAGCTGGAGACGATCAAGGAATTGCAGTGGGAACAGACCGAACTCGAGGAGAGAATTGCACAGCTCACGAAGGACAAGACCCAGGCGGTGGATGAATTACAGCGCGCACACGAACAGGAAACGCGAAGCTTGCAGACTAAGATAAGCACTCTTCAAGCACAGATGACGGAGTATGAGGAGCGTTGTGAAGCTCAGCAGAACACCATCACGTCGCTGGAGAACGAGCAAGCTGAGATGCGCGAACGCATTGACCGTCTAACCAACGAGAAGCAAGAGGCGATGAATGAGTTGCAACACACACACGGAGTTGAGACGACACGTTTGGCTCAGCGTGTTACCGACAGCGATTGTAGAATCGAGTCGTTGTCAGCTGAGCTGGAGGAGCTGGAAGAGACACTAGCAGCAAAAACAACTGAGCAGAACGAGACGGCCGAGTCTTTGGAGCGCTGCGAAGCTCAGCTCCGTGTCTCTCGCTCGGAAGTAGACGAGCGGACTCGCGAGTGCACGCAGCTGAAGAATGACCTGGAGGAAGCTCAGGACGCACAAGAAGCGAGGAGCGGGGAGGTCAAAGAGCAAATGGCGCAGCAGATAGCTGAACTGCGCGAAGTGGTGGACTTATTGCGCTCTAGAGGCGAGGAGGATGTCAGTTTTGAGGGGAGAGAGTGGCAGTCCCATGAGGCGACAGAACTATGCAGAGAACTAGTAACAATGTTGGGCGATCTGCTCTCGACTAGAGACCAACTGCGTGTGGCTATGGAGCAGTTGACCGTCATCCGCAGTGAACAAGACAAGCAGAAGCGGCTTATTGACGAGTTCGTGGCAGCGTCAGATTGGCGTTTGTTCGCGAAGGACGGAGAGGACGAAGGAGAAGTCGTGGAGAATTTGAGCTCTGCCCACGACAAGGATGTGGGTGAGCTGTTGGCTGCTGCAAAGGGGAATTCTGTACGCTGGCTGGATCAACTTGAGCAGCTGCACAGCCGCGTGAAGAAGGATGCGGCCAAGATGAATGAAGTAGAGCAAGAGAAGCTGCAAGTTCATGCGCGTTTAATGACCGCGGAAGCTTCGACTCGCGAGCTCGAGGCTCTGGTTGAGTCCTTGGAAGAGCAAGTAGCAGCTTTACAAGACGAGAAGAAGGAACTAGTGGAGGCTGCAGAGACGTTAACGGCTCAGAACCGCTCTGCCAGTATCCAGGAGCAGCAACAGCAAGCAGCGCAGCAAGAAGAGGTCGCTGCGTTACAGAGCCAACTGGCGAGTGTACGTAGCGACTTTGAGCGGTACCGTGTGCGCTCACACACTGCGTTGAAGAAGATGGAGAAGCGAGCAGAACTGCTGAATGGAATGCGCAAGGAGAACGAGGCCTTGTTGAAGCAAGTTCGAGAGAGCGACGAGCAGCGAGAGCTAGCAGAAGCTGCGCGTCAAGACAGCGAGGCTCGGCTGGAGGAGGTGCAGCGGACACAGGAGATGATGCAGGCGGACTTTGACCACTTGGCGATGGAGAAAGCGCACGTTATCGCCGAGTTGGAGGAGGAAACGCAGCGGTTAGTGTCGGAGCAAGAGCAGACGGAAGCGCAAATTGCGGAGTTCACTCTTAAGATCCAGGAGCTGGAGAGGGAGAAGCAGCAGATCGAGGAGGAGAGTGAGCGCGTCAAGGAGGCAGAGCAGACGGCGTTCCAAGCGCGTCTTAGCACTGCCACAGCTGCAGTGCAGACGGCCAAACAAGACCTGCAGAAGGTGCACGAGGCGTTGGAAGCGAGTAAAGCGGAAAACGACAAGCGCCAGAGCCGGATCGAGTCGCTGGAGCGGAAGCTGACGGAGCAATCCCAGACGCAGACGACCAGCGCGCGTGATGTTCCCCCCGTCCCCGTGCCACAGCTCGCGCTACCTACAGCTGGACTCGAGAAGGAGTTGGCGACGTTGAGAGCATCCGAGACGACACTGAGGAAGCAGCTCGATGACGCCGGTGCAGAGCTGATTGGGCTGCAAGAGCGCTTTGCCACGACCAAAGCAGCCAACGCGGAGAAGGTCTTTGCGCTGGAGGAAGAGAGCAACCATTGGAAGATGGAACTGGCCGCTGCAACGGAAGAAATTCGTTGTCTGAACACCAGGCTTGAAGCGCACAAGAGCGACGGGAACGTTGCGTCAACATCTTCTACTAGCACTACTGACGCTGAAGTAACAGACGACGTTCGTCGACTTCCAACCGAGTTACAAGACGCCAACACGGAGATCTCGTTGCTGTCGAGAGCTCTGGATGCCTGTCGGGAAGAGCTACAAGCTGCACGTGACCAAATCGATATCCTTGCCCCGTCGTCCGAGCCAGAGAGCGGTGAGGATTCAACTGCAGCCTCCAAGACCTCAGCAGTGCTACTAGCCAAGGATGAAGCGCTGAAGAAGCTGCGAGTGCAGGTTCTGGAGCTGCAGGAAGAGCTGCAGACACTTGGAGAGGAGAAGAAAGCGCTGGAACTTGAGGCCGAGAAAGACGAACTCGATGAACTGCAAGCGACACGCAAACACTTGCAGTCCGAGAAGGAGCGAGCGATGCAGCTGCAAAGACGACAAACGCTGGTGTCCAGCTTCGAGAAGCAAGTGGCGAGCATCGTGGACGAGCTGCAGAAGCGACTGGAGGAGCATTCAAGCGCCTTCCGTGACGTCTGTGACTTCCGAGACGACCATCGTGCTGTTCTGTTTTCTACCGACGATACTGGAGCAAGTCCGAAGGAGGAAGTGGAGTTCGACGAGTGTCTGGTGATGCGAAGTGGCGTGGTGATCAAGGCAGGCGCGAGCTTCCAGCTGCCAGTGATCTGTGAGAAGAGCGGGTGGCGCGTGGTCTGGAGCTTCTCCGTGAAGGAGGACGCTGCTGATGTCTCGTTCAAGCTGACAGAAACGTCCAGTGGAGCGGAGGTCGTGTCGCCCGAGCGGATGAACGAGATGTCGGGCGTGTTCCACGTGCGACAGGACAACGCGACGTTGGTGTTTGAGTGGGATAACGCCTTCTCGTGGCTGAATGAGAAGACATTGGACTACCACGTTTCTATCCAGGAGCCTCTGACTCCACAGGCGAAGGAGGTTCGACGTAGCGAGCGAGAACTGCAACGTAGGGCGAAGCTGCTGGAAGAAGGACTGGCTCGGATCCAGACTGAGGCGCAGCGTCGCTCAGAGCTGTCGGCCACGCTGCAGCGACTCAGCGAATGGGAAGCTAAGAAGGAGAAGCACTTGGCGGAGCTTGGAGCTCGCAAGGCCGAGGTGATGGAGCACAAGACGCGCTTCCAAGAAGAGATGGATGCCCAGAAAGCGGCCTTTGCAGCCATGTTGAGGGAGCAGGACGAGCTGGAGGATGTGGAGCGGAGTATTACTCGGGCGTGGGGGGCTGCGATGGCTGAGCGAGAAGACGTCGAGATGACGTTGCAGCTGGCTGGGAATGGGGCGCAGCTGGAGACGTTGGCTCGTGAGATGGAACAGCAGGTGAAGGCTGTGACGGAGCAGCTGGAGAATCCCAAGTCTGTAGAGGACGCTGAGGGGGAGAAAGAGGAGAAAGCTGACCATGAGCCCTGTATACAACAGGGAGAGGTTTCCCGACACGGAGCTGAAGAGGACCCCAAGAGAATGAAGTGATGAGCTGCTTTCTGTGGCGTGTATAAAGCGTTAACAAGTGATGTAAGTTTCTCCCCCACAATATCAATTTGATGAGATGCAAATTTCGATATACGGTATTGTCAGCAACTTACTACGGAAGTTCACTCGATTGTTGCAAGTGAGATGATCTGAACCAGCTGAGCGCGATTAAATCTCCCCTGGCGTCTACCCGGGTAGAGAAAAATGGTGGTACTAAATTTTGAAGAAGAAGCTGCGAGGCGACTGGCACTTTGGATAAATTACGGTATTTTACTTTTGTAGGGCTAATTTGCAATGTGCAGGACTTTGTGAATGATCACTTGGATTCACTGGTAGTGGATACCCTCTCCGATGACGTCGAGCATGTGTTTCTTGTACTGCTTCATCTTCTTGTCCCACATCTTGCGGGTGAGCGGCACGCTGTGGCCGGACACGCGACTGGAAACGAGTTTTTTTTTGCGGAGCTCGATCGGAATTTCCACAGGCGGATGGGATACAACATGGCGCATGCGACTCATGCTGAAGCGCATGAGTGGCATTGGGTGGGACTCCAAGATGCGCATCTTGAGCTGCTGGGCCTCGAGCGGCAAAGGGACCCAGCTGAGTGGATCTTCAGCTGGGCGCTTGTGCATGCTAGAGCGCGGCTTCAAATGCAGGTTATACTTCTTGAGCGGAGGTAGCAGTCCCATGGTGAGCACTTAACTCGTGTAGCCTGCCTGCTAGAGGCTGTATCGGTATGTGTTTGATGGAGTCGATTCGGAAATGAGGTTGTCGCCTTCGTCGTTGGCGACTTATCGCCATTGATCAAGAAGCAGCGTTGCGCTAGACGTGCAGGATGATGAGCTCCGTCTCTTTTATAAAAGGCAAAAGGCTTCCAATCACCCGTGCTGATGTCAAGCGGCCACACGTGTGTGCAACGCAATGACGTCCAATCCTGATGAACGCGTGCCGAGCAATTTCCATAAGTCAGTAGTTACTACTGAGATCGGGTGATTTGATTTCCAATGCGTGCCGAGCAATTTCCATAAGTCAGTAGTTACTACTGAGATCGGGTGATTTGATTTGATTTGGTACTGATCAGTAGTTGTCCCAAGCGTTAGATGTACGCCTGGGTAGTAACATAATAGTAATACACAGTGATGCTCAACCATCGAATGCATGAAGTAGAGCTACATGCTCTTACAAAACAACTTTCTCATTTCCATTTTATCCACGCCATGGCCCCTGTACTCCGCAACCTCTCGAAGAAGAAATTGGGCCGACCCAAAAAGCGCCTGCCCCGAACCTGCCCATCCTGCAAGGTCACCTTTAGCTCCGACTAAGCTTAAGAACCATTTAAACCGTCAACGCGGATGCGGTCCCAAGGCCGTAGCTCTTCAAAAGGCAAAAAGAAAAGAAGCGAACCGGTATTACAGAGAGGTAAATTCAATTAAAAAAAATTAGACAAGGTGGGGATGTGGGATTTTGAGTGCGACGGCTCTAGTGATGACGCTTTGGGCGACGAGGCCATGGAAAAGCCTAAGTAGAGGTTGTTTTGGAGACAACTTGTCCACTGCCAAGGGATTGGCTCAGTTAGACTGGACGCAGGTAGTAGATCTTCGCTAGAGTGATATTGAGTGTAGCACGATAGAAGTACTATTACCTATTGTGAAGTGGTAATATTAGAATATCATTTACTACAGGTTGTTCTGTGATTCCCACACGCATGACGTGGTTGTGAGCAAATTAATGCGAGTAACCTTCCAGCTTCCGTCAACTCCGTTGACATTGATAGCAAACGGGCACTCAATTTCGTCATAGGAGGTGTTCTTGTCGAAGAATTGCTGACCATTCAGCTTTTTGCAGACATACTTTGCATTTCCACTATCGTTTGCCTTGCTACTGAAGCTTTTGACAAACAACTGAAAGCCGGACGATTGAGCAAGTTCTTTGCAGCGTTCTTGAATTGCCTTTTGAGATCCGTGAGTCTCGATCCCGATGTTCTCTCGCCGCTGCTACGCCACACCGTAGTTGCTCTTGCTACAGTCTGTCACTCCAATTGGTACATCTTGTCTCAACAAGCCAAGCGACCTGGCCATATCCAGCTCTGACACGTTCACCACGAAAGGAGCCGACCCGAAAGTGCGAGCTTTTCGTGTTCGAGAGCGGAGCATTCGGTCAGTGTATTGTGTGCCTCGTGGAACTAACGAGCTGGTGAGAGGAAACAGAGAAATGGGCTTGTAGCAGTGAGACGACGACAACAATAGAAACCAAGTCAACGTCTGTTGAGTGCCGTTGAATTTCCATATTAGATTAAAAAAATGTTGTTAGCATGCGCATCATATGTAGAATACTATACTATTTAATTTGAATATGAAATGAAGTACTATTTCATAACTACTGAGATTCGCTGACAATAGCAGTATTTACAAATCAAATCACCCGATCTCAGTAGTGACTTATGGAAATTGCTCACGCGTGCCGCCGGCACTGCCGGTGCACTTGCACATCCCCCAAGGGCCCTTCCAATGAAGATCGGACGGATTTGGGAGGTGTTCACGGATTTTCAAGTGGCAACATGAGAAAACCCCCAGGCATCGGGTAGATTTGGCATGGTGTCGTTGAAATTGAACGCGTCTCTGTCATAATCGTAGTACGACAGACCAAATGCAGCTTATTTCTTAGATAGAATGAATAAATACTGCACAGCACTGCAGGTGCGTCATGTTCAAGCTTAGGCTACCTCTTTGAGCTCGTAGATCTATTGGCGGGGTGGCTGAAACTTCTCGGCGCTGAACTCGTCGTCTCCGAAGGACGGCGGCGAAAGGGACTAACAACTGGAACGGGACGCAAGGTGGAATGATTCTCACCGGTAGGTGACGTACTCGTCGATCATGTCGAGGTGCTTGGTCTTCCTTTTGCAGTTCTCCCACATGTGCATGGTGAGCGGAACGCTCTTGCCAGACACGACCGTGCGGATAGCACGGCGGTCGTTGAGTGTGTCCGGAATGAGCACCGGCGGGATAGCCATGTGACGCATATGGCTCAGGCTGAAGCGCGTAAGCTTGGCTGGGTGGGTTTCGAGGATTCGTTGCTTGAGAGCGCGTACGTCTTCGGGTAGCTCGATGGCCGCGGGGTGAGAGTGACGACGGAAGCTCGAGCGCCTTGAGAGTCCGCGGGGAGACTTGGCAGGCTGTGGCTGCGATCGCTGGATGCGTGGCAAGAAATCTTGTTGCACGCCCATTGTTGCTGTGAACTCGACTTGGTAAGTTGTGGAATGCTGTTGCCGGATCCAGAAAAAAGTGACGAGGCAGCCGGGTTTAGCACCTCAAACCTTGCTGGCCAGCCGGGCACGCGAACATGCACCGGAAGTGGCTCTGCACGCGTTGGCCAAACGCCAGCGCAGAACCGACCTCGGCACGCTCCCTCTGCAGGGCATTTTACTTGTGCTCAGTATGGTAGGGGATCGGCCCTGTCCGTATGCCGCGCGGCCTTGCCGTGGAGGTTTCCGAAATCGTGATTGGACCGTCAGCACCGATGATAGGACGCCAGAGCACGGCTATGCGAATCTGAAGCTCGCCGAAGACGCCGAGCGAGCTGTGCCGCAAGTGATTCTTTGCCCCAACATTTCCGCCTGCTTCCGACGACGTCTGCCAGTCGTCGATGCAGCAACTTAAATCGCCTGCGATTGGTCCTTGCCAAGGACTCCTCCTTGGGACCGCACAATCCCAAACATGTCACGTTGTTGCTGAAGTTGCGCAAGCGACAAATTAGATTCTCGAAGGTGACAACAAACACAGTTTTCCTTTTACAGCAACGCTATCAGCGTATCATGACTGGTAGTAGTCTCGAGCTGTACCGGCTCCGGTGCATGTAATGGGCCGAATGATAAAACGTGCACTGTGGTGCCAATTCTTCCAGCAACTTAATTCGTCTACGGCTCTTCCATGCGCACCGCACGCAAGCACGCTCGACTCGTCGCGTTTTTCTCGACTGTCACATTTGCTTCCGATGAATCGGCGATGATGCCCGCGCATCGCGGGCACCTGCACGAGCGGACCAATCCCAAAGCGAGACAAGTGCAGCGAGTCTTTGCTGCTTTGAAGTTTGCTGCTTGGTGCGTGCGCGCCTAGAGCGGCGATTTGGCGCGGCCGGATTCCTGAAGATTCATCGCTATGCTGCCCAATCTGCACGTAGACGCGTTGGGCTTGGAAGGTTCCGGTATGGTACAGTCTATTAAACCTTTAATGTTAAAAAGTAGAAGCTATCAAAACCTAGAGTTTATTGTTTTGGCAGCAAGCTCTATTCTCTTGAGCCACCGCGCCGGTGGGGAGGAGGATCTTGAGGTGGCGTCTTCATCACCATCTCCTTCATGTACTCCAAGCTTATTGTTCTCCTAGTATCCTGCCCTTGATCCTGCTCCGCTTATGAAGGGGGCCCCATACAGAAGTTCTGTGGTGTCATGTTCTGTTACAGAACATGACATACTGTAGTACTACAGTACATCTACTACTACTACCTGTAGTACTACTAGTAGTACTACAAACGTTAAGTAACAAAGAATGTCACTGCTGCCGGTGCAGCGCACCTTTCCCTTGAAAACGGGTTTACTGTAACAGCCATTTGTGTTTTTCTGATGACATACCCAGCAGAGGCCCTGAGCACTTACACTACGTGTAACAGAAAATCGAGGAATAACCATAACCACAGAATGAAAACGTGTATTCACTCATGCTATCGCACGACATCACGACTCCTAACGTGGGGTATTACGGCGACATCTTGACTTGGCCAGAGTGCACCTAGCGTACCAAGCGAACCAGCGCTGCAACTCAGCAAACGAGTGCAAGCTAACCATTAAGCCAGAGAGCGCTCGTGTGCTGAAATGCGGCGCTGGTACGCTTGGTAGGCGAGGCGAGCTCTCGCGCCGGTGGTAGGTCGTCGCAGCGGTTGGCGTCAGGTCATGATCGAGAGTGTGGACATCGTACTGGAACGTGGACGGATTCTGGCTGGCCATTCTCAGGAGCTAATGGTTTGGGGGGCTGACTCCATGATAGCAAAATCTGGAGTGAACGATCTACATGTAGATCCGAGAATTTGAGGCCAATTAATTTGATTCACGAACACGAGCGCCGTTCTTCCGATAGTAGTGCGCTCATCCAATCTCGGAGTTTACCAACAGGTGTTGTTCATCCAAACATCGTGATTGCCACAATAATCTGAATTTTCTAAAGCAATCTTGCGCTATGGCCATGGATGATGCATCCATGGCCGGCATTTCATAGAACTTTATAAAGCAATTTTGCGCTATGGCCATGGATCATAGTTCATAGCGCAAAATTGCTTTAGAAAATTCAGATTATTGTGGCAATCACGATGTTTGGATGAGCAACATCTGTTGGTAAACTCCGAGATTGGATGAGCGCACTACTGTACTACGTAGTATATATGTAAGCGAAATTTATATACAAACGGATTCTAAAAACTAACAAAATTCCGAGCCCACATTCATGGCGTTATTTTCTTGCTATATCACAAAAAAAATAGCGAATAGCACTGTGAGCTTAAACTTTGCTGGTGTCTTTTGTGCATATGCAGGTGCATACTACTTCGAATAATTTGGCTACGCGAGCACGTAATACCTTACCTTACTACTTCGAAGTAGTTTGTAGTAATACTGTAATGGCTCAGTGGTTCTGTAGTCGTCTGTAGTGCTTTCACTGCTTTTCAAACGTGCGCGGCTTCATTATTGGATCCGAAATGCAACACTATCATAGAATTGTCAGCCATTTCGGCGAGTTGCCATCTTGCTGTAACAGGTGTGCGTCACGTTATAAATACTAAAACGTAGCACAGTCTACAGAGAGATGGCAAAACTTTGGTCAACCCGGATTATTTTTCAAGCTTTCGTGTTTAAATAATGTATATACGGCGGTCGGCGGAACCGCTGCCGTGGGTGTTTGCTAGTCTATAGTCTGCTGCGTCATTCTGTCGACATCTTTCTTCGCTATTGCTGCATACTGTTGGACGCTTGTACTATTGAATGCCAGCTGCGAGGCTCTCACCGGAAGAGCGTGCAGTGCAGCGCGTACGACTCGGAAATCTGCTCCATGTGATGCGTCCTACGCTTGGTGTTGTCCCACATGCAACGCGTGAGCGGAACGCTACGACCGGCGACAGTGGTGGACAGCGCGCGGTGGCTGTTCATCTCCCTGGGGATATCGACGGGGGGAACAACTCGCTTCTTCATGTGGCTCAGGCTGAAGCGCGTAAGCTTCACCTTATGCGTACGCAGGATCATCTCCTTGAGCTGCTGAGCTTCCTCGGGCAGAGCCTCCACGGGCACGGGCGCCTCGTGGTGGCGGTGCCAGCGCGAGACGTGGTGCTTGCCGACAGGTGAGCCCGTGCGGACCTTGGTCACCTGCTCCTGCATGCGCGGCAGGTTAAGCTGAGGCTGCACTCCCATGGTGACGGGTTGCGGGTTGTTAGTGAGGCTTGCTGTGGTGCTGGAATGTTGCGGAATGGGCCATCGAGCCTCGGCCGCCGAAAAGTGACGGGGCTGAACGTTTCCCTTGCGACCTTGACTGGCGCCCGAGTCACCGACCGACCGCTCCAGCGACAGTGCAACGTGAGACCCGCAAATACGAACTGCATGCGCACCACAAAAACATGTGAGGCTGCCTCACATGTTTTTGCCTCACTGAGGCACCACGCACCAGCGCTTTAGTCTTGAATAAAGTATGCAGCGGGAATGTGGCCCTGCGATCGCAATGCAGAGAACGAGCGAGCCCGAAGAGTATGAGAAATTGTATGTTGCCATCTCATCGGCGCGATTGGATTCCACCGCCAGTGCCTCGGCTTTGGTGCATGCGCCACGCATCGGAGCCGGGCGCCAGACTTCGAACGAAAGGAGGAGAGCGTCGGCGATGTCGACGACCTACACTCGGAGCCGGAGGCCAAGATCCGGCGTGCGCACGTCGACTGTCACAGGGAGTCGCGGACTGATTCAGCCACTGAACTTCAGTCTGAAGCCTCGAACGACCAGTACAGTATCATTGACTGGTACCGGTAGGTACATGTATGTACATGTACTTTAGCTACAGTACTCACTCATTGGCCTCGCGTCGGGAGTTCTCCGAGAACTTCTCGTGGTGCTTATCACTGCAGCGACACATCGCGCCGGAAGCATTCCACACAGAACTTACAGCAGTCAGCTCTGAACATGTATAATACCGGTAAAGGTGATACATTACCGGTAGTACGTTCCAGATCAATCCAGAACTTTAGTTTCTGGAATAGCTCAGGCTTTGGAATAAGAAATATCTTCGTCCAGAAATAAATTCCAGCGTTATCCAACTGGAATAAAGTATTGGAATATCGATCGGTAATCTTATTTAGATTTTAGCTAGATAATCGCTATATCAAGCCTTGCGTTATTCCAGACACTAAAGTTCTCTAATAACAGTAGATTACCGGTTCATGAATTCATCATCAAAGTACAGTCACGAGAAGATAATAAAATACCTATTTCAATATAAAGTAATATTTTTTTTATTTTTTTTACTGTAGCTCATGCTGAAGGCGAGCAAGTTATTTTTTCAGGTTTCGGTGGGCCATTGAACCTGTGTAACGGGATACAGGCCAATGTTACATGAAGTGTACTCTTCGGGAAACTTGGTACATGGTACCAGGGTCGTTCGCGGCCAACCATTGGCTGATGACATTGCTTCCGGCGGGCCTCTTCGTCCGATCTTGACGAGGCCTTCCGCATGGTCCGACGTATCGAGACTCTGCTGCCACGTCCGGAGCCACATTCGGCGCACTCCCAGTCGTACGCGTATAGTGCGTACTCGACGAACTCGACATACTCGGCGTATGGCTCCGGGGTCCGTTCGTACGGGGCCCCTCCGGCGTACGGTCTCGACCGCAGCCTTGCTGTTCAGACCGAGGCTTGGGTGCCTGCTCCGACACCCTCGTCGACGTCTGTGGTCGGCCCTCGCTTCGAGGAGTTGGGACAAGGTGGGTCTGCGATTCAGCACCTCCCTGCGGATCGTGGTACCGCTTTAGACGTCCAACGTAGAACGTCGGGTGCGTCGTCATTGACTTGGTCAAGTCGATGGTGTACGACGCACCATTATTGGCCAGGACTGCGAACGGTCCAATGAAGCAGTGCTTCAGCCTGTTGCTGCCGACAGAGCTTACAGTGTCTAGCGGTAGGTTCATCGTGTCTGAAAACTAATTCGCCCACTTAAGTTTTCTCTTCCATGTTTGTCAGAGCACTCCTTCTGTCCGTCCTGGGCCGCCGCTGTGGCATCGTGAACCCTGCTGATCACGCTCAGCTTGGTATCCACAAAGAATTCCACTTGTTTCCGCAGCGAAAGCGGTCTCACATCTGAGACCTGGGAGGAAAGAGCTTTCCGAGCCTCTCACAAGTTAATCACGTCAGTAGCGAGGTTTCGACGGGGACGTCCTCAAAGTATTTGGTTGACCAATGTGTCTGACCAAACCGTGTACCAAGCAGCACGCGACTTGATTGTTATGCGGATACCAGATGGGGATTACGCCGCGAGGGGATGGCTATGTGCGTCTGAACTTCAAGAAGTATTAAGATTGGCAAGTGCTGGTTTGTGAAGGCTGCAGAGACCGGGAGCTGCTCCGGCGGGAGTGTGAGATCTACGAACAATGGCTTGCAACTCAGCCTTCGGCAGTCGAGCGACCAGACTATCCAGAACCTCGTAGGGTGCTAGCAAGGCCCTTTGAAGATTTGCTAAAGAACTCTGAGGGTCGTCAGACGCGTGCAGAGCGCTGGGAGATGATCATGAACGAGTGGAGGTCTCTCTGGTGCCTGACCGGGGACACGGATGATGTCCAATTTTCCGGAAATTCTTTGGATACTTACACGACAGCTCACGGCGGAGGAAATAATGCGAACGAAGCCTGGGTAGCGCGTACACGCGATCTACTGAGCACGGTAAACGTTGTACATACGCCAACGAGTGTTTGTTTCGAATCTAGGGTGACGACGGGAGCGACAAGTAACAGCACTGGATCAGATGGGTGCACCAGTCTAGACAATATTGTCCCGGCCTTGCGCGCAGCCAAATTTGCGAACGAACTATCGGTGGCTGGTCCAGAAGACGCAGACGTTGCAATAAAGGTGATAAACACGGCACCGAGTGTTCGTTGCGAGATTGGAGCGAATGCCAAGCTGCCAAGCCACCAGTCATCCGAGACACTGAGCATAAGTCACCGGCAATATGTCGGCTGCCTGCGCCTTCAATATTGCAAACAAAGACTCGGCAGCTGGGTCAGAGATGGGAAACCAGGCGGTGAAGGAGTCGGAGCCAGCACCGAGTGTTCAAATCGAAGCGGATACAGACGCTGAGTCGAGGGATGAGGCCGTCGCGACTTTGGGCAAGACATACATGTCGGTTGCTCGCGTGTTAACAACCGAAGGAAATGAAGCAACGGAGGAGCAGCCTACGGCACAGTATACGATATCGACACACAGGGGCATGCCCCAATTAAACAGCGTGCCCGACGCGTACCGCTACGTTTTCTCGGCAAGCTGTACGAGCTGCTAAGGGCTTTGTTGAGAGGAGAACGTCCTCACAACACCCAAGCAAATTATGTACCACCCACACTATACTACTAGCACCATAAACCTCTCTTTTTGCATCTTTGGACAATTAATAACACTGAATAGAGTTTGACAGCACTCAAAGTGAGTGTACTGACACTGAAATCCTTAATTATTATAGCCATTCATTTAGCACCCAATCAAAACTCATCAGTAGCACTGTTTTAACCAATACCACACTAGCAAAGAGACAAATGTGTTGGCTAACTTTTAAAGACTCCACGCAGCTACACCCCCCTCTCCACCATCGAACCATTCCTCGCGCCTTACCCTGGACGGAACTTGCTGTCGGCCTGAACCAGGAAGACATCGATCTACTTCTGGGGTCATTTAAAAGCTACAAAATTGTAAAGAGCGACCATGTTCCATGCACTGTCTGCACCAACGCTGCTCCCCACAACATGAGAAAGCGCCTGTTACGCTGCGCGTGCAACGAGTGTAAGGCTGCAATGCCGTACGCTGGATGCGAGTGGCGCGGAAAGCTGCTGAAGTGCGAGCAAGAAGATCTCCTTGATCACTTCAAGGTAGGCTCGCACGTAAGTACTCGCCGGTCGCCTCGGCCACCCCGCATTACGCGAGCAATGCAGAGTTCTGCCCATGAAATGGCGGATCAAGGGCTTAAGCCAGCGCGTCTCCGTACCGGATTAATGCGAAAGTTTAAGCTTGGCCCCGATACGTTGCCGCCTCTAAAGGTCGTGCAACGTTTCGTCTACAACTACCTTGCTAAAACCGTTGGTGCCAACGACTACCTCGACGACGTGAGGCGTATGGTTCGCGAAACAGCCTTCACAGGCCAGGAGCAAGATTTCGATGCATTTTCATTTACGTGGAGAACGGAAGAAGAGGAAAGACCGTACGTTGGGTCGGGAGCTGATGCAAACCCGTTTTGGTGGGGGTGTCATTGAAGAAGCTACTGCGCCAGGCAGATCGAGATCCTGCGACGTTCGTCCTGCACATGGACGCAACGTTCAAATTGAACCACGTTGACTACCCTGTGTTTGTCGTAGGCATCACAGACTGTTGTCGAAAGTTTCATCTCATGGCAATTTTTGTGTCTTCGCAAAGGAAAGAAATACATCTTTCTGAGGCGCTAATGGCCCTTCGGAAGGTCTACTCTCAAGTGACCGGTAAACAACTAGCTGTGCGATTTGCGATGGGCAACGCCGACGACGCTCAATACAATGCCGTCGCTCGTGTACTCGGAGCTGATAGCGAAGTTAAAGTACTCATGTGCTTTTACCATGTAGCTGCAAAAGTGCATGAGAAGACGAGGAAGCTCCACCATTCTCTCTACCCTGTAGTGGCTAGAGGTGCTCATGACCTGCACTTTGCCGCCAGTGAGTTGGAGTATGAAGAAGTCAAGACACGAATGTTGAACGACTGGGCGCTGATTCCGGGTCTTGAGAGCTTCACGGAATATTTCAAGCGCCAATGGTCGATTTTGGAGGTGGCAGGTCTTCCATACTCCTCCAGCATTTGCTGTGACGAATAACCCTGTTGAAACCTCAAACGCGATTTCACGCTGCGTGTAAGGATGAAAATGGGCTCTCTGCTCCGTCAGCTAATGGCATGCTGCACTCACGAAAGCACCACTTCAAGATCATTTGGTGTGGACCCAGCACCAAGTGTCACCCTTGTTCGGCGCGCCAGTGCAATGAGAAAAGCCGGAATGCTTTTGGAGCCGCAATGTCTCCGCAACTCTATTGCATATTTGCTAAGCAATGCCGATGAAGGTGGAAGCGCTTCAACCCAGGTTGTCCGGGTTATCTCTCGCCAAGTACCCCGTGTCTTCAACCCCGAGGCAAAGCGTTCCCGCGAGGCGCTACCAGTCACGGCTCAGCTCGGTGAGCAGACAGCCAGAATGGAGATTGAAGGAATGCCTGACGGTGGCTGGCCTGTAAATACAGTGTCTTGGACGTGTCCGTGTCGTTTCTGGTAGAAGTTTGCGGCATGCATCCACACGTTGATGGCAAAGCACGTCTGTGGCGTTCAC